GTGTGTGTGTGTGTGTGTGTGTGTGTGTGTGTGTGTGTGGACACGCACTATCCTGAGGCCAGGCACTTCTCACTCTCTATGCAGCTGTGTGACTCTGACCTGTGCTGCTTCCTCCTCACAAATGTTCAGACTTCCATTCTTTTGTATTCCTTTCCTCATCTCCCTTTTTTCCCTCTTTTTAAAGGTCTTATACATGCCAGGCAAACACTCTACCGCTGAGGACACCTCATCCCTCTCTGCATTTCTTAAACTTGGCTTCAGAAATAGCAATTGGAATTTGACCCCTAAAAAACAAAGGATATGAACACGAGAGGGTCATATTTTCAATTTCTGTTTTATTATTTCCATTCAATTATGCCTAACATACTTGAGAAACATCCTAAGGCTTAATTAGAACCTTTCCCCCTCAAATTAACAATGCAATGTCAGGACATGCTGACACTCTAAGTGCTATACTCAGCTCATCTAACAACAGTTTACGCACCTGGCTCAGCATTTAACCGGCAGCTGTTAAGGAATTCGGCTGAGAAATATATATCAACATCACAGAAAAACATCAAGACCTCTCCCTTGTCCCAAGCTCGGGCACCCACATTTAGTCCTCGTCCACGATTAAATTCTTCATTCAGTGAGACCAAGGTGTAATTGTGAAAGTTAGACTCACTATGAGGAAAGCACATACAACAACTGGTAAGTGCAATTTAAAGTCAATGTTCCTCTTTCAACAGAACTTACAAAATATATATTTCAAATATTTTATTGCATTAGTTCTACATTCACACAGGGAAAGGAAATCACCTACTTCATATGCTTGTTTATTATCAGGAACAGATACTTACTAAATGCCAATGTTTGAAGCAACGTGCTAATGGTGTGAGATTTTTAAAAAATATTTTATTATTTTTATTTTACATGTATAAGTGTATTGCCTGCATGTGTATAAGTGTACCCGTGTCATGCAATACCTGCAGAGGTCAGAAGAGAGTATCGGATCCCCTGGAACTGGAGTTAGTGATGGTTGTTAGCTGCCCTGTGAGTGCTGGGTAACAAACCCAGGTCGTCTGTAAGAGCAGCCAGTGCTCTTAACCACTGAGCCACCTCTCCAGCTCCAGTGGTGTGAAATTTTAAAAGGGGCACCGCCTTCTGAAATCTTAAAATGTATTGAGGAAGAAAAACATACATGGAAAAATAGTTATGATGTTTCAACTAATAATACATTCTACATGAAAGATACAAACAGCTCTTCTGGCCTCCATTGGGCCTTTGCACACATCCTCCTTGTCAAAGGGACCCTCCCTGATACCACATGGGAAGCAGCCCAGCCTCCCACCTTTTTTTTTTTTTTTTTTTTTTTCTTTTTTTTGAGACAGGGTCTCCCTGTAGCCCCAGCTGGCCTGGAACTCATAAAGGCCTGCCTCCCAGGTGCTGAGGTTAAAGGCATGCACCACCATGCCCAGCTGACCTCCTGCTCTTCAATTCTTTTTCAAGCTGTTTTCCTTAGTTTCACTGGACATGTTTATTCTATATTTCCCACTCCATAAAAACCGAAATTTTATTTTTTATGTTCATTACTATGATACAATCCTCCTCAAAGAGCAGGAGTCAGTGTTTGCTGAAAGGATGAATGAATGAACAAATGAACGAATGAACGAACGAACAGCAATTCTAGGAGATTGCCCATAGTAGCTAGATGTCAGAAGGGGAACTTGACTTACATACATGTTGGTTGGGATCCTAAATTCACTGGCAAGTGGAAAGGTCATTTCAAATAATTACTCTCAAAAGCAAAGAGGTAAGAAAATACACAACATTTTAGAGAAAGCAGCTGGGGTCAGATTAATCATAGGGGAACAAAGAAAACAATGAGAGGGTCACACCAAAGAACTCTAAAACAGGAAGAATGAGAGGAAGATCAGACTGAGGAGTTCCATCCGTGCTGGGTAAAGGACTTGGAATACCCTAAAGGGAAGGAAACTCACAGGACTTTCTGCTAGGACTACAGTTCTTACAGTGAAGCCCTCAAACTCACAGCATAGTACCTCTCAGCAAGGAGTTAGATGCAAGTTTTCAAGCTATAACTTAGAGTCACTAACTCAGAGGTGAGGGATGGAGTCAGTTTCTGTTTTGATGTGCCTTTCAGGTGTCCACCACCAAGGCTGCACAACCACTGACCTAGGATGCAGCTACATCAGCTCAAAGGAGCATGCGAGGAAGGGTGCTGTTCCAGAAGGACAGCATGGTAACGAGGAGGAAGATGTAAAGGCTCATACAATGCGTGGAGTGGACTCCGAATGCTCTAAGTACCCGAACTCTTCTCTGCAACTTAGCGTATATAAATCTCTCCTTTTGGGGAAATTGCCCATTACCACCCTGCATGCCCTGATCAAAGAACCACTCTATCTACCTGAACCACAGTAATTTCCTAGGAGAAAGGACCAGGCTCATGTGCAGCCAATTGCAAAACCTCCACCCCATCGAGCCATAGTGATTGAATGGCTCAAGAGTGGGCAGAATGTCCCACTGGGATTTTCTCAACTGGAGCTCCCTGATGGCAAAGCTGAGAAGATGTAAGCCCAGAGCCGCCAACAGCCATATCCCTCACCATGTGGAAGAAGCCAGTCTGCAACAGGAGAATGAAATGAATGTAGAGAAAACAGCCAAGACCATAACAAGAAAATCTTCATGGTATTCAAGTGTCTGGTTCCAGGCTCTCAGACCCCAAAGTTGTTTTGATTTTTTTCTCCAAATTTGGTGTAACAATCCTGTCATTTTGGGGAAAGAACTAAGATTCTTCAACATTGCTTATGTTCACCTAAGAAGGCTCAAGGTTTTTACCATTTTCTACAGAAGAATCTTGACAACATGGTGAGATGATTTCAGTAACAGACCAGGGTGAGCGACTGGTACTTAGTAGGTAACTGAAAAACAGTAAGGAGGCAAGAGAGGAGGGAGAAACATGGGAACAGAGAACAGGGTTAGGTGGTTGTAGCCCTAAGGAAGGGACAGAGAAGAGGTCCTGTGACACAAATAGGAAGTAACTCATCAGAGATAATTAGAAGTAGAGTCAAAGATTCTGGCTCTCAGGTGTTAGACCCAGAGGCTCTGAAGATGGTCAGATTATGAGCTGAGAGAGACAACTGGGTGGAGAAGGAAAGATGGTGAGCCAGATTTATGTGTGAGAGTCCTTGCAGGGTGGGGACAGGGCTGCCCTCTAAGCTATGCTGTCTTAGTCAAGTTAGAATCTCAAGCAGTATACCTGGAACACAGTAGGTGGGACTCAACAAATGTTAGCTGATTGATTCAAGAATGGCCAGCCACAACTAACAGGAAAGTAAAGAAACAAATGAAAGATACACAGCTCATGGTGTGGTTAATCACCACAGGGCTGGAGAGATGGTTCACAGCACTGGCTGCTCTTGCAGAGGACCCGGGTTCGGTTCCCAGCACCCACAGGGTGGCTAACAGCTGTTTGTAATTCTAGTTCCAGGGGATCCGACACCCTCTTCTGACCTCTGTGGGCACTGCATGCCTGGGGTGCACTTACATACATGCAGGCAATACACTCCTACACATAAAATTAAAATAAATAAAATATTTTATTATCTTTATTTTATGTGTAGGAGTGTATTGCCTGCATATATGTAGGTGCACCCGTGTCATGCAATGCCAAGGAGGTCAGAAGAGGGTGTCGGATCCCCTGGAACTAGAGTTACAAACAGCTGTTAGCCACCCTGTGGGTGCTGGGAACCGAACCCGGGTCCTCTGCAAGAGCAGTCAGTGCTCTTAACCACTAAGCCATCTCTCTAGCCCCCCTAAAATAATTTTTAAAAAATAACCAAACTTACATATTTACAATCCTGTAGCATAGGGGGCTGGAGAGATGGCTCAGTGGTTAAGAACAGTGGTTGTTCTTGCAGAAGACCCGGGTTCAAATCCCAGCACCCACATGGCAGCTAACAACCATCCTTAATTCCAGTTCCAGGGGATCCAACAGCCTCTTCTGTCCTCCACGGGCACTGCACGACACGGGTGCACTTACCTACACACAGGCAATACACACATACACATTAAAAAAATCCTGTAGCATATTTACTTTAAAAATTTTTAGATTTTGGGGCTGGAGATATGGCTTAGTGGTTAAAAGAACTGGCTGCTCTTGCCCCAGGATCTGCCCTCCCCAGGCATTGCATGACACAGGTGTACCTACCTATATGCAGGCAATACATGCATACACATAAAATAAGTAAAAATATAAAAATACATATTTATTTTTATTTCATGTGAATGAGCATTATTGCCTGCAAGTGTGTAAGCACGCCTATGTCGTGCAATGCCCTCAAAGGTGAGAAAAAAAATAAGTAAATTTTTCGATCTCATTTTATACACATAAAAACATTTTTAAGGAGGGCTACACTATCAAATATAAAAGAGCCATCAAAGAGGGTAACAGAGAAAAAGGCTGAATTTGGCAATTAGCTCTTAACATTTGGGGCCCCTCAATTTGGAAATTTTCATTTTAAAGAATGAAAAATTGTTAAGGAAATACTATTCATTCAAATCTTTGAGCACCTACTATGTGCCAGGTATTGTACAGGCTGCTCAGTTGAAGAACCACTTTCTATGAGGTTTGGCTGTGAAAGAAAAAACCAAAACACTATCTACTGTGTAGTACAGAATCAGGTGGGGGTTTCTTAAGATATGGGAACTTAAGCACCATGTACACAGGGGAAAAGAAGCACACACAGACAGGAGGGAACACACGTGACAAGAGACAAGCTCAGATGGTATCAAAGTGCAGAGATTAGATCTAGAAAAGAGGAAAGGAGCAGCAAGAATATGGCAGGTGAGTAGATCACAGGAGAGCATCCTGATCAGCCTGGCTGCTGATGAACAACTAAGGGAAGATGAGTCTGTAGGACTGCATATGAAATGAAGACCTCATTATCATTATCGCCCATCCACACAGACTTGCTCAGCCAACTCTGTTTGTGGGTGTGGGGGAGGGTACGGTGTAAAAGGCCAGGAAGCCAACCTTGGTGCTGGTCCTCACCTCCTACCATGTTTGAGATGGTCTCTGTGTTGTTCATCACTGCACACTTCAGCTGGCCTATGGATGTCAGAGCTTCTCCCATCTCTGCCTCCCATCTCACCAAAAGCATGATGAGATTATAGATGCATGCTACCACACTCAGTTTTCTATAGGTTTTGGAGACTCAAACTCAGGTCCTCAAGCTTGTACAGTAAGTGCTTGACAAACTGAGTCATCTCCCCAGTCCCTCAGCCAACTTTTAAACAGTAGCTATTCACAATGAAAAATTCTAAATATTTTCATTCTTCTAATAACGCTATATATCAAAGACTTCATTATGGACAGGGTTCACCAACCTTGTGACAGATTCTAGGATAGACTTGACTTTAGACAGTCCTTCTTTACCAAAGTACACAACTGTGAGATGAATCCTCTTGTCTTGATGAATACAAACATCCCTAACAGAATTGAAAAATAAAGTTTGTTCAGAAAATGTATAAGGCATCACTCATTCAGAAAGCAATCTAATGAAAATGAACAAGGCAAGAAAATGAACGAGGTCCTGCTAATACAGAATGAAGTCACCCGAAGCAGTCAATACAAAAGAAACAATGCTGCCCAATTACTGGAGGTATCACAACCAAGGCACAAGGTCTGTGTGTCAGAGTGTAACCACTCTGAGGCTGCAGAAGTGTGAAATTATTGCTATATTTCAAACCATCTCTTGGAGCATTTGCTTTGGAACTGTTTTCAGTACCAAATTAAAAATATTTAAGGAAGTAGGTTCAGTACCAGGTAAATAAATATCCAAGTTTCAGATGAAGAGATGTTTTGTACTCAAATTGGCTAATTCCAAACATTAGTCAGTGCTGCTGGTGGAATTAGTGGTAATTATCAAGGAATAGGTGCCACGATTCAGGTTACTTATTATAAAGAAAAATGTAGCCTCTTAGGGTAATTCCAAAAAGGCAATTTTAAAAAGCAGTAGGAAATCATACCTTAAGGGAGCTATTTCAAACAGTAACACTCATTCAGGAGTATGACTTCTGAATTTCTACTCAAGAACAGTGTTAATTAACTTTTTAATATGAAAACAAATATTAAGAGATTAAAGACCTAAAACTAGTACATTAAAATAATTCAAACATGCTAACTATTAATTTGAAAAAAGAAAGCAGTATTTTTCTTAAATAGTTCTAACATGCTTTAACACCAGCATTTTAAATATGCCAATTAAATGGCCCAATAAAGAAAGACTCAGTAATCTGCTTCCCTAGATGGAACGTTTCCTATTTCTGTTGAATGTTTGGATCTCCAATTTTTTTTTTTTTTTCGGTCTTTTTGAGACAGGGTCTCCCTGTAGCTCCCAGCTGGCCTGGATCGCACTATGTAGACCAGACTGGCCTTGAACTCACAGAAATTCATTTGCCTCTGTCTCCCAAGTGCTGGGATTAAAGGTGTGCACCACCACACCTGGCTGGATCTCTAAATTACAATCTTCAAAAAAAAACTCAATTTGTTTTCAAGAGATTTTCTTGGGAGAAAGCAATATTCTGGATTTTCATTGAGGTGGTGGTTTAGGAGTATATACATGTCAAAAGTCATGAAAACTTGACTTAACCTTAAAATTTCCTTTAAGTTATCCTTGGAATATATAGATTTTCACTGCATATATGTTAGGCTTCAATAAGTCGATTTTCAAAAGTTCAACTTATCCTAAAATGAATTTAAACACAATTAAAGTCATCAGGATCAGTTTCTAAGTGGATGTTGCCCTCAAATTATTTCATAGCTTAAACTGTCTAGAAACATTACACACGATACACACTTTAAGAAAAAAGATTAAAAAACTTATTAAAGTTTTAAATTAAAACTTTAAAGTTTTAATTAAAAAATTTAATTAAACTCTATTAAATCATTCTACAATTCTAAGTACTCATACTTGGTAATAAGTAAATGTGCATGAAATGTATATTTAAGGAACTTAGCCAAAGCAAGTTCTGACAGTTACCTGAAATTCTGCATGAACTGTGCAAATGCTTCCGTTCTTTCAGCAAGTGGCACAATGATATTGATAACTGATCTAGTAATGTCAATCATCTCATTTTTCACTTTCATGAGGGGTCCAAAAGGGCGAAAGAGGGTCACATGTCTGTATTCCATAAGGTCTGCTTTCTTAAAGAAGAGTTCATACTGTGTGCCCTTATCTCTCTCAGTGCGGTAATAACCTAGAGGAAAGAGTTTGGAACAAAGACGTGTACATGTGAAAGTCAAAATCCAGTAAGAATACTCAGTCACAGACCAAGAATACTAAATCAGACCTGCTGAGTTTTTACCCACTTATAAAGTATCTACTTCAACTGTAGAGTCAGGAACAACGACTCTAAGGGGAAGAGCCTACTATTATCCTGCTAAATGGATAGTGTATTAAACTATTTTTTAAAAAGGTTTCAAAAAAGACATTTACTGTTGACTCTATTAGTCAAGCCATTAAATAACCTCCAAATGGCAACATTTTTCCTTTAAAACAGAGCCTATCACCTATGGTGATAGTGTCAAACATAGTACTTCTGGAAATATTAAATTCTGAGCCCAAGAGTCAAAACGTTTATTGCTTGGTTCAACTCAACAAAAATGAATCAAGTACCTTCATGTCAGTCATTGATGATATAGAGACCATATACACATACATATATGTTTAGGGAGAAATCAGACAAAGACATTTAGAAGAGATTTCAACAGAGTGATCTGAGATGTGTTTGGGAGAAGAGTATGGAAGTTGCTTGGGCAGGGTGACTTTAAAGTGTAACACTCAGAAGAGAGAAGAGATTTGCCCCAACCCTCCTGAGGCTTACAGGCTAAAAGGAACAACAAACCAGAGACTGGCAACACATCTATTACAGCAAGTGCTAGGACAGAGGGTACGTTAGGGCGGTGAGAAGAGCACACAGACAGCACGGCGCTAGGACAGAGGGTACGTTAGGGCAGTGAGAAGGGCACACAGTCAGCACGGCTATTTTAGGCTCGAGGTTAGAGGCAACTTCCTGGAAGAAGTGACATTTGAACAAAGGCCTGGAAGAGGAACAGAAGTGACTTACTGGTTGCTAGTATTTAATTTAGAAGGGAGGACAATATCACAGAGGAGGGAAAGTAAAAGACAGAATATGCTCCGGTAGAGAAAAGTCCTGAAAGTGACACTCTAAGGAGAGTTACACCATCAGCAGAAGCCACAGTATACAGCGGTCATAGTTGACCTTCTTTTAAGCAGAATGGGTATGGGGACAGTACATGTGATACTTAATACTTGAGCATCTTATTTCCCTCAGCTTTCAATCCTGCCATGAGGTACAAAAAGCTAAGCTTACAAGAAAGAAGAATTTGAGAGAAACAATTCATCAAAAACAGCACGAATAACAGCAGAAAAAAGAGGTCATAGGAAGAAGGTAGTTAAAACACTCCAGCAAAGCGCAATGCCCTGCCTGATAGACTTCCAAAGCCTCAATGTATTATTCTACTACCACACAAGTGACAGCCATGATGACGTGGGGCAAAAATAACGCTACATGTGGTAGGCTGCTTATAGAATAAAACAAAAAGAACTTCTAGAAAACATTTGTAGCCAAATGGTCTTAAGCCTGCAGTTAAACATCTAGCAATGGGCACAATGTGGGGATGGGTAGGAATGCATAATTATTTCTGTTTAGATCTATCAGTAAATATTTAAAATTTACATTATCTTTAAGTTATGTACCATCTTAAAATCTCAAATCCTTTCTGCAATCTGCATTATGAAAATGTGCTCTTTCTCTACTTTTCAAAATGCTCAAAATGCAAAACTATGTATGCCCCTTGGTGTTCTGGCCACCTGCTTCTCTTTCCTTCAAAACAGAAAAAAGCCACTAACCTACTGCATTAGATATTTTTCTTTCCTTATCAAATGATTTTCAAATTTTGAGCCTTAGTTCATACAATTTTTTAAAACATAAAAGAAGAATATCAACATTAGATAAGAGAGGAATGCAAATCATACGCATGCAAACACACATAGCCCATAAGAGCCCTTCAACTTCCCTGGTTAGAATTCTTGTATTTAAGCTTGGATTTATTCTAGTTCCCTGATTCTTATTGTTTTTATTATGATCCATTATACCTTTTCCAAAAAGCCATTTCAAATTCTTGGTGGAATGAAGTAGGTAAAAATGCTTTAATACTGTGTAATAACAGACCTCAGCACACACTACTAGCCTCCTGTCATACTAACATAAGTATGTACCAACATATTTAATACTCTGCAATAACAGACCTCAGCACACATGCCTTCTGTCATACTAACATAAGTGTATACCAACATATTTAACACTGTGTAATAACGGACCTCAGCACACACCACTACCCTTCCGTCATACTAACATAAGTGTATACCAACATATTTAACACTGTGTAATAATGGACCTCAGCACACATGCCTTCTGTCATACTAACATAAGTGTATACCAACATATTTAACACTGTGTAATAATGGACCTCAGCACACATTACTAGCCTTCTGTCATACTAACATAAGTATATACCAACATATCTAATACTGTGTAATAATGGACCTCAGCACACATGCCTTCTGTCATACTAACATAAGTACATACCAACATATTTAAAAGCATTTAAAAATATTTTATTATTATTTTATGTATATGAGTGCTTTGCCTGCATGTATGTAAGTGCACCACATGTGTGCAATGCTCACAGAGACCAGAAGAGGGTGTCAGATCCTCTGGAACTGAAGTTATGGATGGTTGTTAGCCACCATTTGGGTGCTGGGAATTGAGCCCGGGTCCTCTGGAAGAACAGCAAGTGCTCTTAATCACTGAGCCATCTCTCCAGCCCCTAAAAACCGTTTTTTAAAACAAATATTTATTGTGTGTGTGTCAGTCATAGGACAACTTGTGTGAGTCTTACCAACACATTTTTCATATTACCTTCTATGAAGTCATTTTCATTAAATATCAGTTTCTCTGCAAGGGGGCTCTCCTCATCTTCCTGTTCGTCATCTTCATCGGGATTATTAATGACCTCCAAGCCAGCTTCAATAACTTCTACCAATTCATCCCGTTTGTCTTTTCTAACTGGCTTTTCTTCTGGATGGCGAGTGAGCCCCATTTCCAATTGAAATACTTTCATTAAGGTGAAACTTTCAAAGGGGATGACTCCATACTCACTGGGTAGCTTGGCTCCTACGTTAACTTCTGCTCTGTCAATCTGGGAATGAAGAAACTCTAAAAGATCACTAGGTGTTTGTTCTTTGTTGCCTTGATAGCCTATGCCATTGGCCCCTAGATTCTTTCTCTCTTGCAATGATCTCATCTTCTCACTCATTTCTTGCAATTCTTGTTTTAGCTGGGCAATCTGGCGTTTCAGACTGGTTGCCCTGGTTTGGTAATGTTCTTCTTGCTCCTGCAGGAGGGCCTGGTAATACTCCTTACCATAAGTTTCTCTAACAACACCAGGAAGCGATGCATTCCCATCAGTCTGGGGGGCACACTCCAGGAGGTACATAAATAACACCAAACTGCAGAGCAGAGCGAGGCCCAAGAGCAGCCACTGTGTCCGGCTGTGAAGAACTGATCCTCTTCTAGACATGCTTATGTGTGAGTTTGCCTAATAAGATAAGCTCTTTGCTTGTTCATAACTTTAGTAAAAAGTTACTGAAAGTTAAAAACAAAATAAGGATTTCCATAAAAGGTACCAAAATGAATTCTGTTGTAGTTAAAAAAATTCTTTCTTCAGTAGTCATGGCTACTTGAGAAGTGAGAAATCAGGTATACTTCTGTATTACTACCACGACATCCACATTAAAAGAACCTGATCTGTAAAATCCATTATTTGGGTGGTGACTTTTCTGAAAGAAACAGATCAGAGCCAATCAGAATTTGGTTTCCTCAAGCATATCAAATTGTTGGCAGCTTCAATAAACTTAGCTGTTACTACTATTATGCAGCATTCCATGGAGAGATGCTAATATAGTTTAGAGTAATTGGTAAGTACTGAAAGAAAACATTCAGAAAATAATCTTATAAAATACTAAAATATCATATATAAAAGTTTTAGCCAGTTTATATACCCATCACCCACTGACTAAAAAAAAACCATTAAAATTATGTTCAGTTTGTTACACAGATTCTAATTAAATCATTTTAAAATTATGCTGCTTATAACTCTTTATAAACACAGTATTTCAATCAACATACCACTTCCTAACTAAAACATGTAATTCTTGGGAATTGGATTTCTATAAATTGTTTTTTTATTATAGCAATAATGGTTTTCTGGCAGGAGAAAGTTCTAGGAGTTTATTAAATTCAAATGTTCTACCTCATTAATTTCTATTGCTCAACTCAACCAATCTAGGGAGCCTTAAAATCAAGTGGGGGTGGGGGTGGATACAATCTAAAAGGTCACAGACAGCTGGGAAACACAGGAAAAACATTTTTATATCCAAAGTCATCTGGTAGATTACTTGAGCATTAGATCACATAATTCTTTCCACTGTACTACAGAGCAAAAGACTCCTTACAAGTCTGGAAGGTTTGGAGTCACTATAAAGAAAACACACAAAAAGTTCAATTGTTTTGTCTGTCAAGAAAAAGAAATTTAGAACTGTAGATTTACAAAATTACATGCTACCATTCATACTATGACCCACTGTGTGAGTTCTTCCATATCTAATTCTAAACTAAGGAAGGATTGTTAACTCTAGAAATAGAAAAGATTAAACTTAGGCCTCTGCTGCAAACAGAACTTGCATTCTAACACAGTATTTCTGAGAAGGACAATGTGATATGTGGAGACATTTCATGATAACACTTTCTCCAGTGCCACAGCCTATGGAGGACCATCATTAGGGAGCAGCAGCTAAATCACTTCCTTAGTCATTGGGACAGCCTGGGTGTCTTCTATAGAAAATCCTGTTTTTTTTTTTTTTTTTTTTTTTTTTTTTTTGTAGCACAACTGTGTTAAAATGTAGCATACATTAAAACTTTTATGGTAGTAGACTATAAATAATGAACTTAACTTCTCTAAGCCATTTATTCCTTTAGAAAACCAAATGATAGCCAACTATCCTAAAATTTATTTGACTAAAAGTGTCTTTTTTTTTTTGGTCTTTTTGAGACAGGGTCTCCCTGTAGCTCCAGCTGTCCTGGAACTCACTATGTACACCAGGCTGGCCTTGAACTCACAGAGATCCACCTGCCTCTGCCTCCCAAGTGCTAGGATTAAAAAGGACTTTCTAATTGTAAATTTTAAGTGGTAGAGAAAGAAAAACTACGAAAACTTTTCAGTTTTAAGAAATACAAACTAATTTAAAAAATACAAACTAATTTAAAAGAATGTAAAGCTGTATTAGTTCTAAGAATTCACTATACCTCAAAACCACAATCTTTAACAAAATAAACCACTGAATGTTATTACTGAAAAGATATGCTTAGATGTATCTTTTAACTATGTTATTATTAGCCTACCCATCAGAGAAAAGGCTAGAATTGAAAGTGCAGAAATAATCTTTCATAAATTATTATAAAGATAGACATACTTAACCGCATTATATACTCAAATGGTTTTGAAGTGAAACTTGGTCATAAAGCAGCAAATACTCTAAGTATCACAACCTTTTATTAATAGGTCATCTAGGCCTTTTCATTTATGCAGACAATATGTTTCACACTATGAGATATAATTCAAAACAGGTCACTACTAAAGATTTACTTTTCAATGAAAAAGAATCATGTTTAGCAGTACATTTTGCATTATGATTATATATATGTGTATATATAGGAGATCTTCATGTAAACTGTGTTTATAATTGGGTTGTGATTTAAAAACCCTAAAAGCAGTAATTTAAAACCCTTTTTTACATATTCCATAGATTTTTTTTCATAATAGTGCTGATATGAGCTTCCTTTCATAGAGGAAAAAATAGTTCAGAAATGAACAGGTTTAAATAAAGTTATATAACCACTAAATGGAAGCATTGAAACTAAGGTCTCCCTCTCCCCCTGCCCTTTAATAAAAATACAGCCTTTGGAACACCTTACATGTGATTTACTATTACAGCTGATTATTATCCACTGAAATCAAAGAAAAGGTGCTGTGATTACCTTATTCATTGCATAACTCTGTGCTCCCTGTTAAATCTTTGTTTGCTTAAAAGGAACTCTTTTTGGCCACATAGTAGACTAGATTATAATACCTCTAAAACATTAAAAATATTAGAAGAACTAGGGCTACAGCTCATTGGTAGAGTGCTTGCCAAGCATGCCTGAGGTCCTAGGTTCAACTCCCAGCAAAACACACACACACACACACACACACACACACACACACACACGCAGAAAGATGAGACAGAGACAGATTTTTTTCTGCTGTTATACCTTGATTTCCATCATTCTGTGCACTGTTTATGTATCATACATATGGCTCAGCTCAGAGCTCATCCAACCAACCTCCTAAATACATATAGCCAAGTGTTTGAGCGAGATAAAGGAATGTTACAGTGATGGAAAAATGAGCTTAATAGCATGTAAGACAAAAATCAAAGATCTCAGAGTTGAAAGAATTCTTAGAGACAATCAATTCCAATTCAAAAACAGACTAAAAGGCTTCATTTCATGATAGAATAATGGGAACCAGATTTATTCACGTTTGAAACAACCAAAAATTATCAGACAACAAAAACCAACACCCTAATCCCCAAACACTCCAAAATAGTTTTTCAGATATTGAACATCACATGTAAGAAACAAAAGACAGTAATGACAAAACAATCCTCTTGGAAGCAATACAAGTGAGAAGAACGTGGTGGAAAAACAAGCCAGAGTAGGATTCTATACCCAGCACAATAAATAGAGTGCCTGCTACAGCCTTCTGCTCTACCAACTGAGCTACTGAAGGATTCACCAAATAATCTTTGCAAAGCAAAGGTAAAATACTTTAATACCTTTTCAGATATAAAAAAGGAAGCTAAGAGACTTCATTACCACTACATCTGTTCTACAAGTCCTTTAGACAGAAAGAAAATAGATCCATAAGAGCAATGTAAAACACCAGAAATGTTAACTATATTTCAGTTTCTTGTAAGCTTTAGAGAGCTAAACATAATTTTAAGGGTTTGGGTTTTTTTCTGTTTTGTTTTGTTTTGTTTTGTTTTTCTCTTCTTGCTCTGAGACAGGGTCTCATTCTATAGTCCAGGCTGGTCTCAAACGCACAGCAATCCTCCTGCCTCAGCCTCCCAAGTGCTGGGATTATAGGTGCAAGCCACCATACCCGTTTGGGTTTTTTTAGTTCATTTTTTTTAAACACAGTAAAAACAAAGCCACAGAATTATCTGGAAGATATAACCACTATCAGGAAACTACTATAAAGTACAAATACATAGGAAGAGAAAATTAGAGCTGTTTATTTTTTAAGAACTTACCAATTTGTATCTAGAAATAAAAGAACTGATTACCAGAAGGCAGCATTTATTCCACAAATACGTGAGTACTACCATGTGCCAGGAGCTGTACTGAGTACCAAGAATACCAGAGGGGTCCTTTAGATAAGGCGTTTCTGGAGAAACTATATTAATGGTACTTGAATGTTGGCCTTGAATGTTGGCCAAACAAATAGTAGTAATATTCACAAAATGTGCCAGCCTGTGGCATAATAAAAGCCCGTTTGAAAATAGTCAACTACTTAACAGTTATGTAATCTTGACACAACACTTAATCTCTTTGGGCTTCCTCTATAAAGTGAGTCAGTTTGCCTGGAGAGCCAATTTAAAAAATATTTTAAATTATGACTATGTATGAGGGTATGTGCATGTGAGTGCAGGTACCCACAGAGGCCAGAGGTATCAGATCCCCCGGAACTGGAGTTATAGGCAGTTATAAGCCTCCAATGTTGGGAGCTGAACTCAGGTCTTCTGTAAAAACAGTATGCACTCTTAATTTTTTAGCCATCTCTCTAGCCTCTGGATGGCCAATTTTTCTTTCAGGAAGTCATGGTTCCTTTAATTAGATAAACTAAATAGAAATGCGTACATGTACACACATCCTTTTTTCAAGGCAGATTTAGTTTAAATGCATATGTTTATGCAACTTGTAATTCCACTTTAAAAAAATTTAAATACACAATTATCAACACTATTGTGTGATGTATTAAGTACCAAGAACACTAGATATTAGTGTTCATGTAACAGCAGAACAAAAGTAAAAGAAATTTACTGCAAAAACAAAGGACGGGAAAAGTGAAATGAACTACAGACATTTATACAATAGAATATTTAAAAGGAATGATGGATCTTTGTTGCCAACAATACCTATAAAATGACAACATGTTGCAAATATTTTTCTCAGTTTTTCTTGTCTGTATGTCCTCTTGGATTCAGAGCTGGATAGCCCTATTCAGGAATCTGCTTTACTATTTCCTAACTCTTCATTACAGAAAAGTTTCTGTCTCTGTGAGCTTTAGTTTCCTCATCTAAGTGGGGCTAGTTACAGAACTTGCCTTGCAGCACTACTGCTAACAGTCAAGCAGAACCTGGTAGTGTTAAGTGCCCAATAAATGTCAGGTATTATTTTTCAGTCTGTAATTTTGTTGTTAATAATCAAATCTATGAAGTTTTACCTACATGTTTCAATTTTAGCTTCTCTATCTGAAGTAACCCTAATATAAAACTAGCATCTCATTTTCTCAAGCAGATGATTCTTACCATTCTTTCTACAATCCCTGTTCCTAAAATTAATCTGAAATGTCATTTTCATCATACACAAAATTCTTCAATGTAGAGAGGTTGTAGAGACGTCTGTATTTGGCATCTAAACCAGAGAGAGGCAAGCAAAGAGTTTAGATCAGATGCTG